CTACTACTACTTCTACCGTACGTACGTACTACTACTAACTACTACTACTACGTAACGTAACGTACGTCGTCGTACTTACGTTAGTTAGTTAGTACTACTCTCTCTCTCTCTCTCTCTCTCTCTCTCTCTCTCTCTCTCTCTCTCTTGCAGATAGGCCACAAGGCAATTGAATAATGGAACTTAAGAGTTTGAGACACAGAATTTCATGCCACTGCTCTCTCTCTTGCAGATAGGCTACGAGGCAATTGAATAATGGAACTTAGGGCTTGAGACACAGAATTTCATGCCACTAGGCAATGACTTTCAACTTCCAACAGTTACAGCGATAAGTGTCTGAATCCACTACGCTTATCTCTTTCGGAAGAACTAGCCCTTTAACAATCAAGCTACAACTAGAGAGATGACATCTCCTCATTTGGGAAATAGAAATCAAGCTCTCTCATAAATCTGGTTTTTCAAAAGGCATCCACCTTGTCATTGTTACCCCCTACATCAACATCAAATTCTTCAAGCCATGGATCCGAGTTTAGACAAAAGCACTTCAACTCAGGAAGCTAGGCACTGAGAATGGTGGTCAGGGCCTATTTGGAGAGGAAGTGGGCAGTGAGCATGAGTCACACGGCAAAGAGGCAGTCGGATTTGAATAGGAATTTCTGACACTCTCTCTAGATGGAATCAGCCATTTGTCTTCATTCTCGGTCAGAAGGTAGGGTGTTTTCTTTCGATGGAATGGATTCTGAATGATAAAATCTCTATCATTAAACCTCGTTTTCTCTCTATTTTGCAATGGCCTGCTCACTAAATGTTGCTCTACTTTTAAAAAACCTCCTTTTCCTGAACTTCATTCTTCTTTGTGACCTTAACATCCTCCCTTGTCTCTTCATCTTCTCCAACTTCTCCTTCCTTCCCTTTATATCAGCTGTGATAACTCTCTCTCTCTTTTCTTCACAGAGGAGTGCTAATCTCGCAAACGTCTTTGGCCTCACATCCCCCAACCTCTCCTGAATTTCCTTGAACACTGGAACCAAACCAGATCGCATGAAATAGCCTTCATTAAGTTGCATTGAGTTTAACTCAGGCAAAGAAGAAGCATCTCGTAACTCAAGATCCATGCAAAAGGCTGAGTCCTTTAACCACATTCTAAGAGAGTGAGCTTTTGCTACAAGTATACCAGTGCGGGTCTTAGAAGGCAAAAATGGGGAACCCATCTCCCATAGGAAAGCCTTGAGAGTCTTGCTGATGGACACATTGTTGTATTCTGCTGTCCCAGTTATTAATACTACAGACTTTGGGGACTCTGGCAAGCCTTGTAACGAGGCATCCTGTACAGAAACAAATTCTTAAGAAACATTTTTAAATTAGATGCATGAACTATAACATATTGAAAGAGTGAGAGAGTCACTTTTGATTTCCTTTGGTTTGGTACGATGCACATGCAATTGCACATGCACCGAGACAAGGAGGGTGGGAGATTACCTGCATATGGTCGAGCCAAAGAGTGAGACCGACCAGTGCAGCACCCCCAGAGAGCTTCCTAAAATCAGCACCCCAGTTCTTTTCTGCTACCCTGGTCAAGCCAAGCAGCAGGCAGCAAAGTTAAAACGTGAAGATTTCAAGATACCAAAATAAGCTAAAGGATTGTCTAGAAAGAGACCATTTATCTTTTGTATATGGTGGTGATAGTCATTCCCACTTAGTAGATGTCAAATTGGATGGCTTGCAGTGAATCAAGAAGTTGGAGAATTTTTTTTTTAGAATTTTGTGTTTATTCAATGCCTCTTACAACCACTCATTTTGAAATTTAAGGGACAATAATGATAGTGACCTCTATGTACAAAAGATAAATGGTATCTTTGAAGTCAATCCCATAAGCTAAACCAAGAGAGACCAAAATAATAGTACTTATCATAATTATCAATCACCCGACAACAGAAAGACAGGCCCTGTCTTTTGAGTCGGTGTGATAATTGATTTCAAATTTTGGTACCAAACTTGCTCCAAGCTCGAAGATTTTAAATTTTGGAAAGAATCATTGTTATTCACCAGAATGCACTGATTAGTAACAAAGATGAATCTTACAGCAATAAGAGAATGGGAATACCTGAAAACATCATGTGGGTATATATTCTTTTGTATGGCCATCTGAAAAACCCATGAAGCGGCAGCCCGACGTTCAAATGCCCATAACAGATCCTCTAAGGCATTTACAAAACGAAAGGCGGCATCTTCCTCCAAGGACCCCAGTTGCTCCAAGAGATGGTCCATCTCCAAAATCAACAGCTCGGATTTTCCCATCAAGAGTCTAGAATAACATAAAACAGTAGAATAAACTATCTGTGCCTCGCGTGGTGTTCATGATTTAGGAAAGGGATTATATACTATGAGACCATTTATCTTTGTTATAAGGAGGTCACAATTACTCCTAACCATTAGATGTCAAATTGAAGGGCTTAAGGCGTGTCACAAAATTCAATAAATTTTTCTTTGAACTTTGAATCTAATCAATGACACACTTACAACCACTCAATTTGAAATTTGATGGACAAGGGTGATTGTGACCTTCTTTCAAAAGTAATTGATCTCTTTGTATACTTATCAATAGGAAAACTCTTAGTAATAAGAAACAATGATTATGCCAAGGGTAGTTGAAAATATTTCCAGGCTACATTTGGTCTCAGATTGGCAAAAACTTCATAACACACAACCATCTCCTATCCCCCCTCTGCGCATGGGGTTTTCTTCATAAAACCCCAGAAAAATAAGAAACTTTTACATTTAAAACAAGAGGAATTTCTGGCATATAGTTTTATAACAAGTTTCGTTTTGAAGGAAGAAAATGGTAACTTAAGACTCATTACGCATGAACCACCCATACCTGAGGGGAAGATCGAAGCCTACATCACTCAAACAATTAAGAAGTTTCAATGCTTCGTTCCTTTGTCGACAGCGGCTCGCTGCCCTTATAAAGCATGTCCATACTCTATAGTCAGGATCCACCCCATCTCTCTTCATCTGCAACATCTTCTCTATACCCAACTCATACTCCCCATTTTTCAAATACACATCAATGACAGAAACATATGGCACAGTGCCCACATTCAATCCTGAACTTTTTATGCCCTTAAGCACATTCTCTGCCCCATCAGGAAGGCCTGCCTGCCCATATGAATCCATTAACAAGTGCATGGTTGCAAGAGATGGCTCAATCCCATCATCTTTCATCTTAACCAACAAATTCTCAGCCTTTTCATGGCTACCACAATTCCTATATATTTTCAACAATGAGTGATAAACACCGCGGTCAAGCTTGAACCCCTTCGATACCATTTCCTTAAATAGAACCTCGGCTTCCTCCCATAGCTCTTGCTTACCACAAGAAGAAAGAAGGCTTTTATATGAACCCAACTTAGGGTCCAAACCCTCTCTCCTCATTTCATTCAAGAGGGAGAAGGCTTCTTCAGCCCTAAGATCTTTACTATACATAATTATAAGTATGTTATATGTGTCCTCATCAGGTTCGAAACCCATTTCTTGTATCTTCCTATACACATCCACTGTCTTCCTAAAGTCCTCAATTCCAGTATACATTCTAAGCATACAATTGAGTATAAAAAGGTCACATTTGAATCCTGCCTCTTCCATCTCGGCTACCATCAACTCTACATCCCTAACTCTCTTTCCTCGAGAAAAAAGCCCCACCATGTTCCTGTAGAGATGCATGGTGGGTAGATAACCAGCAGCTTTCATGCCATGGTATATCTTCTTCACCTCAAAGATATTTCCAGCTCTCGCAAAGGCATCAAGCATCAATAGAATCGTACTTTTGCTTATCTTGAAACCCATCTCCTGCAACTCTTGGATCACCACGTAAAGCTCATCTAACCTCCCTGAGTTAATCAAAGCCTCCATGAGACCATTAATAGATTCTACAGTAGGGAATGGACCATCTCTCACCATGTTATTGAATACCGCCCGTGCTTGCTCGTATTTACCACTTGTGGCATATGCATTTATCAGAGCATTCCAAACTCTCCTATCCACTGTTGTGTATAGTCTCAGTGTCCCAACCACACTTTCAGCTCGCTGCCAAAGCTTCAACTTCCCATAGGATTCAATCAAAGTTACATACAATGAGAGATCATCGATAAGAACGCCCGTCTTTTCAGCTCGTTGGATCACATGATGAGCTGTTTCAGGAAAACCCATCTTCGAATATGCCATGGCTGCACATTTAAAGCTGATGGGGGTGGGTCCAAAGCAGTAAAAATTCATATCGGAGTACAACTGTGAAGCTTCTGCAAATAATTCAGCTTCTTCACAGCATAGAATGAGAGTTTCATATGCACTACTACTAAAATAATCACCACCTGAAAAATTCATTTTATAATATTCCTCCATGGCAGCTTCGGTTTGATGAGCATTACAAAGCATCAAAAGCAAGGATTCGTGCACTAATACGCTTGATGCACTTGACTTTGGAGCATGTTCCTTCAGAAAATTAATCAAGGAGCGAGCTTCTTCATGCCTACCCAGTGAAGAAAACCAACTCAATATAGGAGACACAATGTCGCTTTCTGGTACAAACCCTTGAGTGACAGCTAGCCTCAAGTTATTAACAGCATCTTCAAAGCACTCTGCTCTCACTAGAACAGAGCACAAACCAGGTAGGCCAATATCCATAGATTTTTTAATGTCCTTTATCAATATTTCCACTTCCTCATGCTTGCTATCTTTCACAAAAACCTGAAGCATCGTTTCATAAAGACTTTGGTCTGGTCTAAGACCATCTCTAACCATCCTCTGATATAGACCCATGACTTTTCTAGTATCATTTGCCCTAATTAAAACATCGAGCATTACTGAGTATGCTAAGTGATCAGGTTTTATACCAGACTTTACCATCCAATCAAAGGTTTCTCCTGCCTCATCACGCATCCCGGCCTTAGCATACCCACAAATCAAAGCACTATATGTGCGCAATGTGGGTCTAACTCTTGCATCTAACATCTCTGATAACACATCGGCAGCTTCCTTTACTTGACCAGCTTTCCCAAGAGAGTCTATCAACACAGTGAAAGTAACCGAATCAGGTGTACACCCAGCAAGCTTCATCTCCTCATATAACTGAAACCCTAATTCATGCTTACCCATCTTCCCATACATGTGAATCAAGGTGTTATATGCTATTTCATCCAGTTTAAACCCAGCACGCACCATTTCCTCGCATATCCATTTTACCTTTTCCAAATTCCTATTCTTTGCATAAGCATAAAGTAGAGAATTAAAAGTCACAGCATCAGGGAAAAACCCCTTTCGACCCAATTCATTATATATATTCTCCACCTCTTCCAGATTACCTGATCGTCCAAAAACTGAAATCATGGCATTGTAAGTCCATAAATCAGGCAAGCAACCATGGTGCTCCATATCCTGAAAAACCCTAACCGCCTCTTCAGAACTTGACCCTGAAGCACATGAACTTATAAGTGTATTATAAGTGATTATGTCAGGCCTAAGACCTGACTTTCGAATCTCGTTAAGGATATCCATCGCGGAACCGGGTGATAAAAACCTCGCCTTCGCTCTAGCATTTATAAGAGTATTGAAGCTTACAAGGTCAGGTTCACACCCTCTACGTCTCATGAGCTTGAGCAATTCTTGGGCGTCATCAAATCTACCTTGTCTAGCATAAACCCCCATCATCGAATTATAAACTTGAACCACATTGCCAATCTCTGGTTTTGCCCTAGAAAAGATTGCTTCAGCTAAGGTTTCCTGGTTCGCTTTTCCTAAAACTGCCAAAATTGTAGCAAGCATTCGAGCACTAGGAGTATACCAGTGCCTGAGATTCAACCATTCGTATATCTCAAGAGCCCTTTGCCAATTGGAGTGCCCCACCCATTTAACTACAAAGCAATAATCAGTTGGCGATAGCTGAATTTTATTAGCATCAAGCACATCTGCAACGAATTCTGAAGGCTGGAGCTTAAGAATCTCATCTGTGAGAGATTGGACCCTTTGTCTCCAATCCTTGGCTCTCTTTAGGGCCAACTTGCTTAGTTTCTTTGCCCTTGTCCTACGGTCCGAGCGAAGGGTTTCAGCATAAGGACCAATTGTTCTCTCAGAGTCGGATTCCTCCCTGGTGTTCTCTGAAAACCTAGAATCCTCCATGCTTTCCTCCGAAACCAAAGCACTTTGCATGGTTTCCTCGGAAACCAAAGAATTGCTCACTCTATTCTCTGAATCCAAATAATCTTCGACCTTTTTCTCTGTAATCAAACCATCCCCCATGGATTTCTCTGAAACCAAAAAATCCAGGGTTTCCCGTGAAACCAAAGAATTTAGGGTTTTCTCTGTAAATTTGAGATTTGGCCATCTAACTGATGGAGAAGCTCTGCTATACCTAAATTCTTGAACCTGAGCTTTCTCCACTGAGGCCTTTACAGATAGGGTTCTTAAACTTTTAGGGTTATTTAAGGGGATAAAATAGAATTTAAATGTAGTGGTAGTTACAGGCAGTAGCAGTACCTTACTTGAAAGACAAGCATTGGGGGAGTGTAGAGTCACAAATGATGATGAAGAAGAAGAAGACTGAAGCCTAACCATGCCGAAGTCACAGAGAAAGTGCGCCACTTGATTGATATATATTCATACTCTTTTCTTTTGTGTTTTGAACGAAAATGGGGGAATAATAGACGTAAAATATCTTTAGATATTTTGGAGAGGTAGAGGTTTGTGTCTATAAATTTTGCTACTTCTGGTTTAGAAAATCTTACACTAGTTTGAAAATCAATTTTTAATTTTAATTATAAAATTTAAAATTTTCAAAACTGGTATACTTCGAGCAAACACATCTATAAAGACATGTAAATCTAGACAGTTTAAATGACTTGTTATATGATGCACCATAATTAAGACTTGAAATTCTTTTAGATGTGATTTTGATGACCGAAACATGAGTTTTCATATCTAATTATAAAATTTCAATACCAAAATAGTACAGATTGAGAAGGTCTATAAATACTTCAAAATATTAAAAAAATAGACGGTTCAACGGATGTATTATAAGATACACTATTTTTAAGACTAGAGATCTTCCTTTTTCTACATCATACATCTCGCTATCGATACGATCAATAGAAGGGTTTTTCCAGCGTCGAAACAATCTTTTACAATAGATGTTTAAGAGGTGCAATAGTAAAAGTGTATAGCATCTATAAACTTTTTCTTGTGTTATCTATTCAAATGCGATGCCCTTTAAATCCACGTAAAACATGTATGGACTTTGATGTTAAACATGTTTGGATGAAATGATAATAATCGCAATGACTGTAATTTTGAGAACAAAGCTTTTTTAATGTTAAAAAAAGATTTATATATTAATCTTATTTTATTTTTGATGTATGAAAGTAATTTCCATATACTTTCAATTTTACACTCGTCCCACTTTTTTATAATTTTTTTATTTCAAAATCACCTCTAGCTCTAACATGAGATGTTTGAACCCGCTTTTTTTTTGAGCGAAAGGTTCAGAC